AAATATATTTTGTTGACTCAAGCATTTATGGACATATGGGGCAAAAAATGCTTTACCAAGCAGAGATTTTAAATGTACCAAACCTACTTTTGCATTAAATATTGTGATTTTTTATGGAGAAACCTGCCTTACCATGAACACAACTCACCCCATCCGTAATAATTATAGTTTTTGATATTTTCTTGGTGTTTCTCAAATGTCTAACAAATATCTGCCTTGATTTTCCAGTGTCTGTGAGCAGGGAGTATTTAACTGCACTCAGGAACAATGTGAGGAGGTACAACAGTGCCCCCATTCCCTGGTCTACTCCCCCCGTTCCTGCCTCCTCACTTGCTCCAGTCTGGACCCTCCTGGCCATCCGCATGTGTCCAGTGTCTTACAATCAAGCTGCAGAGAGCCGTTGTCTGGCTGCGTCTGTCCTCAGGGAACTGTCTTACTGGTGGGTAAAAACTCCAAGCACTTTCTAAATGGGGCAGATATACCTATAAGCAGCTTTTTACATCCTGTGTAAAGTGTGAAGGAAATTCCAACATACTGCCAACTCTGTTTCATAGTGGAATGTGGAGTAAAAAAGTTGAATGTTGTTTCACCTTTTCAACATCTTTATGTGTTTTAGGATGATCGCTGTGTACCCCCAGATGAGTGTCCCTGTCACCATAATGGTCAACTTTATTACACCAATGACACCATCACCAAAGACTGCAACACATGGTAACATCTACATCTGCTGATTAGTATCCCCATCCTCTAACTTCACTGATCAAATCGGTATAACTTTCTCCAACAGTGTGTGTAAGGAGCGGCGCTGGCACTGCACCCACACCATCTGTGCTGGAGTTTGTGTTGCAACAGGAGATCCACACTATGTGACCTTTGACGGCCGCTGCTACTCGTTTCTGGGGGACTGCCAGTATGTTCTGGCCCGGGAGAACAGCGGTTTGTTCAGCGTGACGGCGGAGAACGTGCCGTGTGGCAGTACCGGCGTCACCTGCACCAAGTCGGTCACCCTCAGCCTTGGGAACACGGTCATACACCTGCTGAGAGGTGGGAACCAAAAGTGCTCTTATGGGGAATATTTTAATGAATGATTGCTAGAGGTAGTTAACATCCGATGGAGATTCTCGCATGAATGACAAACAATTAGAGCAAGAAAATAGACAGTACTATTCTCCACATAGGGGACACACCTCGAAAAGAAAAATCATTCGGGGCAAAAGTTACACATGAATTACATTTATTTTTAACCTTTTTTTACATTATGTTAAATTTTTGTAACTTTTAATTTCTACCAATTTAGTTTTCTTCTTTGGGTAGTTAGAATATACATTTACGTTAATTTAGAACCAAATTTTTTATTTATTTATTTTTTTATACTTGGAGTTGTTTAGATTTCTTTGTCAACCCTCCCATTAATTTGAGTAATTCAGAACACACCGGGTGCTTGGTGGTTTTTTTGGTAAATCTCTGGTGAGGACAGGACGTTTTGTAAAATGTTTTTTTGACCACTTTTTTAGAGCTTTAAACATTAAATTAACATTATTTTAAGTTAACTATTTGCTAGACATTTTTAGTAATTATTTTGGCTTTGCTTTTACAATAAATAAGTCAAGTTAGACATGCATACAAACACAAAAACCACCTTAATTAACCACCAAAATTATCAATAACCACCTCAAACATCCCAGTATTGGCTCTATGTTCATAGATTGGTGAAATAACCAAGTTTTTTCTTTGCTTAATTTTATATTTAAACTCTGAGTTAAAGGATTGTTTTGTTTAAACAAGTCTGAAAACTGCAGCTTATTTATTTATTTATTTA